TATGGTCTCTTTGGGGTATATTCCCAGTAGTAGAATTGCTGGGTCAAATGGTATCTCTATTTGCAACTTTTTGAGAAAGCGCCATACTGCTTTCCATAGGGGTTGCCCCATTTTACACTCCCACCAACAGTGAATAAGGGTTCCAGTTTCTCCACAACCTCGCCAGCATTTGTTGTTTGCTGTTCTGTTAAATTTGGCTATTTTGACTGGGGTGAGATGATATCTCATAGTTGTTTTAACTTGCACCTCTCTTAGAGCTAGGAATTTTGAACATTTCTTCATGTGCTTGTTAGCCATCTGAATGTTGTCTTCGCCCATTTTTCTATTGAATTATTTACCTTTATCTTGTTGTGGTGATAAACCATATTCTAAGGTTGCTCTGAACCCTTTTAAAATTATTTTGCTTTTGAATTCCTTCTTTCTCAGGATTGACTGGGAGGAGAATATACTTTCTGGAGATCTAATTCCAGCAATGAAGAGGCAGTGTTGTTGTTGTGTACTGTGGAAATAGGACCAATTCATAGCTGACCTTCTAATGGATTTTAAGAGGCAGAATATTACACAGGAAGTTGTTTTGTAAAACAGATGCGGGAACCAAAAGTAAGCAAAGAAGCTTTTACTGGGGACTCTCAGGCGAGGTTCACTGTCCCAGGCCCGAGAGGGGCAGGAGGGGTCAGAGAAGTTACACGTGGGTTGGGGATGAATCGGTTTTTAATGACTCGGTGGAAAGGGGATGTCTTTTGGCAGAGGAAGTGTTTGTGTAGCTCGCTGATTGTCTATGGCTGCTGCCACTTGCTGCTGCCACTGTGGAGTAGGAACCAGCTCTTGTGAACGAGGTAGACTGTGGCATCAGATGGTGAGGTAGGTTAGAGCATCAGACAGCTTGGGAAGTCTTCTTTGCAGCTTCCATTTCTTTGAGGCCATGTCACAGGTTTTTCTGAGTCAGCCCTGAAGACCTATCATCCCAGCCTTCTTTGTTTTATAGGTGTGACATACTCTCTCTGGCTGCTTCCTGCTGAGGGGTCCTCATGGGGATGGGGGAGAAAGGCTGGGAGATAGCTCGCTGGGAAGCTGGGCATAAGCATGGAGTAACAACTGGTTAACTGCAACATGAGAAATTTCACGGATATGAGCTTGCAAAAATTTTAGTAGGCATGGTGCTACTAATAAAAAGGAACAAATTATTAGTAATTAGTAATTGGGGCTAGCTGAGTTATTAACAGTGATTGTCACCACCCTGGTTTGATCTTGATGACTGTCCAGGTTAGTTGTTGTAATGTATGAGTGATGGGATCAGTCCACGTGAAGGCAAAGAAGTAGGAGTCAGAATGTAAAGGAACAGTAAAGAAGGCATCCTTCAGATCAAGAACAGTGAAATGTGTAGTTTCAGGAGGTATATGAGAAAGCAATGTGTAGGAGTTAGGGACTAAAGGGTAAATGGAGAGGATAGCCTCATTAATGAGGTGTATGGACAAGCCTGTAAGCACCTGAGGGTTTGCATACTGGCAAGATGGGAGTGTTACATGGGGAGTTGGTACCAATTGCAGCACAGCTTCTTACCACTAGGCCACCAGAGCTCCCTACACTCTGCCAACAGAAACAGGTCATCACATAAATAGTGTACTTGTTCAGATTTATAAAGCTTTCCCATATGTTCTACCTCACCTTTTCCCGGAGTTGGGATGTTGGTGTTCTTTTGTGCCATTGAGTTGACATTGACTCAAAACTGACCCTCCAGCTGAATTTTAGGGGCTATGAATTGTATGAGAGGGAGTTGTTCATCTTTCTACCACAGAGTAGTTGGTGGATTTTTACCTCTTGCCTGCGGTTTGGCAGCATATTTTTTTTAACTAAAGCTACCAGACTCTCTAGAGTAAGTATAGACAGCTAACATGCCACATGCTCAAGGTCAACTAAATTAAAATTTGTAGAGCCAACATTCAAATTCAACTCATTTCAATTAAAACCAAAGTTCTTTCCCCAAAGGCACAATGGAGGCTACATCAGATGAAATTATAAACAAGAATGCCATTTTTACACTCATGGATGAGGTGCTCAGAAAATAGTTAGAAACAATAGGGTCAAAAGACGTTTCAGAGCTGTGACATCTATAAAATTTGGACATCTTAAACTGATGCTCTGAGGGATTTTAGTAAAATATCACATAGCACTAAACAACCAAAGGTCAAAGAAAGCTTAAAATGCTGCACCAACTCAGCATCTTTTCCACAAATGTTCTTATCAACCAAGTTTTCATGGTGTCTGACTTCCTTGGTTTGGTTAAAGGAGAGACAGGCAGTGGTAATTTCAAAGGCCATCTCAGATCTTGAGTTTACTCCTCAAAAGTGACAACTGTGAACCAAACACATCATATTTTAAAACCTGTGTCTCTATTGGGATGTAAGACTATGACAAATATTACAGGTATACCTAAAAAAAAACATTCATAATCATAGGCCTTTGTTCTGATACTCTTTTTTCAGGTACTAGCTGCAAACTTTTAAAAAATGCGGTTGATTGGACAATAGATCCGAAAGTGTCAAAGGAAGAATACACAGATAACCTTAAAGCATTCATACGAGGTGACCAATCTTTAACAGTCCTACAATATTTCAAACAGTGCTATCTCAAGCAGCCGCAAGAGGTTCTAGATCCTGTCAATAACACAATGGTAAGTTCGAGTTCTTCTTAGGTGCTTTTTACAAACATGGCAGAGGACAAATAGGCTCTGATTTTGTCTCTAATCCTGCAGTGATTTTTTTTTTTAAATCCTTTAATTAAGTGGTGTGGTGAATTGCTGTTGACCGAGGGTGAAGTACTAATAATGAGACAGAACACCAAGAATGTATAAGTAAATAGAGGTAAAGCAGGGGGTGAGCAGTTTGAACAACTGAAACCAACTGGAGAGTCCAACCTAACTTCCTGTGCCTTTATTGAAAATTGCCAGGGAGCAAATCACAAAGAGAATTCTATGCAAATGAAGCTAAGCTCTTTCTATTGAAAAACTTATGCTTGACTCTGGAAGGAGAGGGTCGCAAATATAATACAAGAATTGTGTAAATGTTTAAGTGCCTTAGTGCCTACCCTTGTAAACATCTAAAGTCAGCCTTAGTGCTTCAGTGTGAATTCCAGCTGGTATCCGCATCTCCCTCATATCTTGATATAGCATTTGGTTTATTATAAATATTTAGTATTAAATTTGGCTTCCCACAGTGAATCTATAAAGTGAAAGTAAAAGGCAAATCAAGAAGTCTGATTTGCCAGTTGATTTTGTGACTTCTTTAGTGAGTGAGAAACCAAAAAGGTAACAGACAGTAAAGAAGACCCAAAATCTTACCTATTCCCATCAGCTTGCTAGGACTGAGTTTCAGTCTCTCTCTCTCTCTCTCCTTTTCAATTAAGAGACATAATTGCTTCTCAGATATCGTTCACTTGTAGCAAACATCCACTAAGAAAGTTACCTCTTTGCAAAAATGTAATAGTAAAAGTATTCTTGACATATTTTGAGCATGTTGCAAGGAGGACCCAGTCCTTGGAGAGGGACATCGTACTTGGAAGGGTGGAAGGAAAGCAAAAGAAATAAAGGCCTTCAGTGAAATGGGTTGATTCAGTGACTAGGGTAATGAGGATAGGTGTATCAGAGACAATAAGGTTGGCACAGGATAGAGTAGGTTTCAGAGATGTTGTACATAGGATTGCTATAAGTCACAAGTGCATAGCAAAAATGACAACAAAAGTATTCTTAAGAACTTTCCCCTCAAAGTTTGGTAAGTATTGTTTGGCAAGAGCCTAAGTATCTTCAATACAGAGTTTAAAATGTGGTACCAAGTGATTGAGATACATTACAAGATATTATTGGACATCATGGGCCATTTGATGAACTACTCTCTGAAATGGTAAACAGAAATCATGGTATGAAACAACCATGGAGAATGGATTTGTTGAAAACAAAAGTCATGCTATTACAAATAAGTACTTTAATTCTTATTGGTTGAAGTTTCTGCCATAAGTTAATCTATATCATAATATTCCATTTCAAGCATTTCATTGTAGAAAATAAACATATAAAAACAGTTATAATTTTGAGTCATAGATATTTTTGCTTTCAAAAATTTCACCCCTAAGAATACAATTTAGGTGAATAATTCATAGTCTAATCACCCAATATTTCATTGGTTACAAAAATGATGGTGTAAAATCCATGACTGTTTTCATTCTTACTAATTTTAAGGTCATATAGAAACACTGAAGCATCACATTTTTCTACATTTGAGTTGAGATTTAAACATTTTGTGTTGTAAAGTCATTTCAGAAATAGTTCAACTTGATATATTCTTTACAAATAATACATGTAGAATACTTATTGGGGAAATTATTTCAAAGAATTTGAATCTGGAAAGAAAAAAAAGGCTAAAAGAAATCTCTGCTCAGAAAGATCTGGAATTGATAGCACTTCTCTTTGAATAATAAATGGCAACTAAATGACAAAATAAGTGACTAAACTTCTCTGCTTTCACTTTCAGCTCCTTCCTGCTTGTTGCTAGATAATTGTAGATGATGGTTGTTGTTATGTGCTGTTGAGTCAGAATGGACTGCTGGTCCTTTAACAGCTTTTCAGTGGCTGTAAACTCACGTGAGAGGAGATTACCCACCTTTGTCCCATGGATTTAAACCACCTGCCTTTGTATTGGCAATGAAGGCAGGTCCTTGACACTAAGCCACCAGAGCTCCTGATAATTTTAGTTCATGAAAATCAGAAACAGAAAAGGTGTTTTTTCTTTTTAATTTCAGTATTTTGAGATACAAGGGGTAGTTTGGAAATCTAAGTGACGTTTCTGGTTTTGTTTTCCAGCAAATCCTTTATAGGGCCTGTGGTTCCACTTAACTTTCCACAAGACTTTTATTTCAGAGAACTACAGAGGAAATGGCCACAAACTGCCTAGGATGGTTCCAAACCACAGCATTTTTTCTCTCTCTACTATTTTATCTTTTTTAATTAATTTTAATGAAAATTTACAGAGACTTTGGATTTTCATTCATTCATTGTTGCACTTTTCTCCCTGCCCTACCCCCAGTTCACGCTTCTCTTTGAAAAGTAAAAGAAAAATTCTTTCATTGTTATACAATCCCTCCCCCCAAGTCCACTTCACTCACTGTGCAGACTTCATTCTGGACTCCTGTTATGACAATAACACCTAATCACATATCCCCTTCAAACAGTTGTCTCTCAGTCTCCCCCCAACCCCAATGTCAGTCCCATTTTATAACGGTGGCACTATGCAGTATTTGTCCTTTTGTGACTAAGATATTTCAGTCAGCATAATGTCCTCCAGGGTCACCCATTTTGAATAATATTGCATGAGTTCCTTGATTTTCAGTGCAGCGTAGTATTCCATTGTGTGAATATACCACAGCTTCTCTATCCATTTGTTTGTTGATGGGCACTTAGGTTGTTTTCAACTCTTTGCTGTTGTGAACAAAGCCATGATAAAAATGGGTGTACATATATCTGCTTTGGTGGGGGTTATGCTTTCTTTGGGGTATATTCCCAGTAGTGGAATTGCTGGGTGACATGGTATTTCTATTTGTAACTTTTTGAGAAAGTGCCATACTCCCTTTGATAGTGATTGCACCATTTTACACTCCCACCAACAGTGAATAAGCGTTTCAGTTTCTCCACAACCTCACCAGTGTTTGTTGCTTGCATTCTGTTAAATTTTGCTATTCTTACTGGGGTGAGATGGTATCTCACAGTTATTTTGATTTGCATCTCTCTTACAGCTAGGGATTTTGAACATTTCTTCATGTGTTTATTCACCATGTGAATGTCTTCTTTGGTGAAGTGTCTGTTCATGTCCTGTGTCCATTTTTCAATAGGGTTGTTCCCCTTTATCTTGTTGTGGTGCTTGAGTATTTAATAAATTCTAGAAACAATCCCTTTTCTGACATGTCATTACCAAATTTTTTTTCCTAGTCTGTCGCTTCCCTTTTTACCCTGTTGGATAAGTTTTTGGATGTGCATAGGGATTTGAATCTTTTAATTCATCTATTTTGTTCTCTCCTGGTTGTAGATTTTTCACGATGCTTGGAAGACTGTTTATTTTGTGGATTAGGACTTTTAAACTACAAATAGCAAGACAATTGTTGAAACCTCAAATACATTATCCTTTAAATAAATTAATTGCAAGAAACTAAAGTGTCTTTTCATTCTTCCTTAAAAGGAGGACTTTAGAAGGTCTTAGGAACATTCTTGTCAACATCAGCTATTCATGAGGGAACTCGGGGTGAGTGGGTAGTGACTGAAAACGGCCTTCCTCACCGTCTATGGCCCACACATCGCCCTTTCTGTGAGAGAGTCTCCCTCCCTCGTCACCTCTCACACCACTGCCTCAAGCGCTCACATCCTTGTGGTCCGGGGGTCAGATGAAGTCCAGAATCCCTCAGCTCACTACCCTTTGATCTCCCTTCAGAGTCTTGCACTCAGTGACTGTTCTCTTCTTTACATTCTCCCTGTACCTACTGGAAAACCATCAGAATTGTATTCAGGGAGCAAGTGATGCTAGTCTTCAATGGCCCTGGGCCCTGCCATGGGCTGCATGAAGATCTCCATGGAGAGCTGGGCCACTGACATAATTGTCCCCAGACTCCAGACTGGCAGCTTCACAGGTTGACTATGTGGTTGTTAAATGCCATTAAATTGATTCTGATTATGTAGGACCCTACGTACTACAGATTGAAATTCTGTCTGATCCAGAGACGTTCTCACAATCTCTGCTGTGCTTAAGCTCAGTTGGTCCTTGCATGTGTAATCTGTAAGCCACTTAGTGACAGCGGGCATGTCATGTCCTCAGAGTGAGTTGGGTCACTGAGATTCACCTAACCTAGTTAAAACAGTTGAAGTTGTAAAGAAGATGATTTTAAAGAATGGAATACTGGCAGGGTGATATTAGGAAAATGTCTACCCACTTGGAAATTAATAGCCAATGGCAACAATTCATCAGCTATTAAATAATTTTTTGTTGTTGTTGTTGTTGTTATGAGTGGTTTGTGACTCATAGTGACCACATGTACAACAGCGGAACCCTCCTCTATCCTGAGGCAACCTTATTGTCTCTAAGACACCTACCCTCATGATCCTAGGCATTGAGTCAATCCATCTCATCTATCCTTTAAGTCTCCATCTCTAGAATACAAACTCTAGGAGAACAGAGATAATGGTGATTTTTCTTAACACTGTGACCTCCTTCCTAACATATTGAATAAGTATTCAGTAAATACTAGATGAAGAATTGCACGATTAGCAGGTATTTATATGCATTGTGGTAATCAAAGTGGAAACACATGAATAGTAGGGGAAAACAGGAATGATTGAGACCATAGTGTGGGTAATGAGTTAAAAATGGACCTAGTAGCGTCTAATAACAATCATGTAGTACCATGTTGTTGTTGTTAAGTGCCATTGAGTCGCATGCGACTCATAGCGACCCTATGTACAAAAGCCCTAAATGCCATTCTATCCTGTGCCAACCCTGCCGTCTCAAACACACTCATTCCAACCACTCCACTCACAGAATCAATCCATCTCATCAAAGGTCTTCCTCTCCTGCACCGTCCCTCCACTCTGCCAAACATGATGTCCCTCTCCAAGGACCTGTCCCTCCTTACAACATGCCCAAAGTATGTCAGATGAAGCTTCAGAATCTTTAACTCCAAGGAGCAGCCCAGCTTCACCCTCTCCAGGACAAACCTGTTTGTTTTCTTAGCAGTCCATGGTATATTCAACACTCTTCTCCAGCACCACAGCTCAAAGGCATCAAGAAATGCAACTCTGTATGGACTAGGTCATCAGGGATTCTCTTACATTCAAAGGAACATGATGATTTCTTTGAAAAGAAGTCTGTAAGATAAAGGTGGTATAGCACTGGTCTGTGCGTTGCTGTACAGAGGTAACTCGTGGTTGCTGTGATGCTGAAGCCTGTGACCGTGATGTGCCAATTGTGGTAATGGGCACCCATGGTGGACAGTGTTGGCTGGAGCTTCCCGACTAAATCAAGCCTGGAAGCAGGAGTGGCATCCACTTCCAAAATGGCTTGCCTCTGGAAACTCTATGTACAAACAGTGCTCAGGCTGTTCGTTCATAGGGTCGCTATGAGTCGTCTACGACTCGACGGCATTAAACAACAACAACAATAACAATTCACTGACCAACTCTCTGATGCATAGCACATAATCGTGAAGACTATAGCCTGGATCAGGTGCACCTTAGTCTCCAGCCTGACGTTGTTGCTCTTCAGTACTCTGCCATATTGGTTATAAACAGAAAAGTTAGAGTGAAAGACATCATAGAAATGTGATTCCTAATTTTCCTTTTTCAATACTGTCCCTGTTGTTACCCACAAATATAAAATAGGACACATTCAGATGTGAAAACAGAATACTAACATGTATCCAGCCAGGGGTGGAGGGTCGGTGAAGGAGAGGAAGACCCTCAACCAGGTGTATTGATGTGGTGACTGCTGCAATAGACTCTTGTGTGTCAGGAAGTGGAATCCACTGGGACATCAACTCTCTGGGAGAGAATAAAATTCCCTCCACAAAGTTTCCAAAGTCATAAATCATGGAAGCAAAATACCTGTGCTTTCTCCCATGGAATAGCTGGTGGGTCCTGACTACTAATATTTCTGTTAGCAACCAATGACCTAAACCACAGTGCCACCAAAGATGTGATTCATAGAGTCATTGATTCACTAGATTTTTTTATGCTAATCAAATGCCTTCATGTTGTGGTGCTGGAAAAGAGTTTGAAAATACTGTGGACTGCTAAGAAACTAAATGGGTCTGTTATGGAGAGGGTGAAACCAAGTCTCTCCATGGAGGCTAGGATTTTGAAGCTTCGTGTCACATACTTTGGGCATGTGACCAGAAAAGACTGGTCCTTGGAGAAGGACATCGTGCTCGGAAGGGTGGACAGACAGCACAGGAGAGGAAGACCCTGGATGAGATGGATTGATACGGTATCTGGCGCAGTAGGGGTTGGTGTGTCACAATTAGTGAGCCTGCCTGGGGATAGGCAGGGTTCAGAGCTGCTGTACTTAGGGTCACAACACATTGCAGGTGTCTCAATGGCACGTAACAACAGAAACACACTATATTAGTTAATTTTTTTATTTAAGTCCCAAGTTTAGAATCAACCAGACCTTGGGTAGGGCCTTTGTATTTAAAAGTCAGTTGTTATTATATTATGGAGAAAAATTCTTCTAAGTGGTACAGCACTCTTCTGTCAATATGCTGTACTGAGGTAACCTGGGGTTGCTGTGATGCTGAACCTTGTGCCATGGGGGTCAAATGCCATAATGGTTGCCCATGGTGGACAGTGTTTGGTGGAGCTCCCAGTTTAAGACAAGTTTGGAAGCAAGAGTGGCATCCACTTCCTAAAAAACATGCCTTGGGAGCTCTGGTGGCCTAGTGGCAAGGAGCTGCAACTACAATCCCAGAGGCTCACGGTTCGAATCCACCAGATGCTCTGCCGGGAGAAGAGGGACAATCTCCTCCTGTACCAGTCAGATCTGATTTGACGGTACACTCACAAAAAATTTAAAAAAACAAAACAAAAAATAAACAAACAAACATGCCTCTGGAAACTCTATGAACTTTGATAAATGACTATAGTTATAGAAAAGCTTCAGGCCTTTGTTCATAGGGTCACTATGAGTCATGCTCGACTTGATGGCAATCAACAACAACAAAAATCAAATGCTGTAATATAATAAAATTCATATTCTCTTTACTTGTTGGTTGTTGTTGTTGTGATGTGCTGTCAGGTTGACCATGACTCATAGTGACCCTGTGTACATTAGCTTTGAGCCATGCCTTATCCTGAGCCAATCTTTTTGTCTTTGACAGACTTAATCCTATTTCTCCAGCCACAGAGTCAATCCCTCTCATCCAGCGTCTTCCTCTCCTGCATTATCCCTCTGCTCTTCTAAGCATGATGTCCCTCTCCAAGGACTGGTCCCTCCTGGTCACATGCCCAAAGTATATGAGATGGAGCTTCAAAATCCTTGCCTCTAAGGAGCAGACTAGTTTCACCCTCTCCAGTACAGACTTGTTTGTTCTCCTGGCCGTCCATGCTATGTTAAACACTCTTCTCCAGCACCACAGCTCAAAGGCATCAATTCTTATTCTATCATCCTTAATTATTGTCCAGCTCTCGGATGCATAGCAAGTAATTGCGAAGACCATGACTTGGATCAGGCACACATTAGTCTCCAAACTGACATTGTTGCTCTTCAGTTCTCTAGAGAGGTTTCTGATAGCAGATTTTCCCAATGCAGTTCATCTTTTAATTTCCTAACTGCTGGTGCCAAGAGTGTTGACTGTGGAACCAAGCACGCTGAAGTAATCAACAATCTGAATCTCTTCTCTGTCCATCATGAAGCTACTAATTGGCACAGTGGTAAGAATCTTTGTTTTCTTGATGTTGAGCTTCAATCCATATTGAAAACTTAAGTACTTGACCTCCTGCAGCAAACACCTCATAACCATAACCATAGTTAGATAGATCTTGGCTGAAAACAGAGAGCACCAGAGGAATATCTATCTGCGTTTCATTGACTATGCAAAGACATTTCACGGTGTGGATCACACAAAAAATGTGGCTAATCTTGAGAAGAATCGGGATACCAGAACACTTAATTGTGCTCATGCAAAACCTATACTTGGGCCATGAAGCAGTGGTCAGAACAGAGCACGGAAACTGCATGATTCAGGATCCGGAAAGGTATGCATCACAGATGCATCTTGTCGCCATACCTTTTCAGTTTATATGCAGAACAGATAACTTTGGAGGATGGACTTAATAAAGATGAATGTGGCATCAAGATTGAAAGAAGACTCATCAACTGCTTGCATTATGCAGATGACACAACCTCGCTTGCTGAAACTGAAGAGGACATGAGGTGTTTACTGCAGATGGTCAAAGACTGTAGTCTTCCACTCAATGGTATTGGTAAAATCTCCACTCACGACAGTAAAATGACATGAAAGTACCAGACTTGAGGGTCGCTGCCGCCCAAAAGGAGCTGGGGGAGGACGGTGGCCCGCGAGGCTCGAGGCTCGTCGCAGACAACGCAGCGGCGATGTCCGTGAGCCAGGCGAGTGCCGCGGAGGCAGCGGCGGGGCCTCGCGCGCAGCAGGGCGGCCTGAGCTGCGGCCTCCCTCCAGTTCCCGGGAAGCAGGCTGGCGGCAAGCACGGGAGCAGCAGCAGCAGAGGCGGAGGCTCTGGCGCGTCTTTCTCCTCCGCCTCGGCCTGAGCCTGGAGCGGACAGGAGGCCCGGGTGGCTGGAGGGGGTTCCGCTGCCCGAGAATGGGAATTCTCTTCACCAGGATATGGAGACTGTTCAATCACCAGGAGCACAAAGGTTATCATTGTTGGGCTGGATAATGCAGGGAAAACTACCATCCTTTACCAATTTTCTATGAATGAAGTTGTACATACATCCCCTACAATTGGAAGTAATGTAGAAGAGATAGTAGTTAATAATACACGTTTCCTAATGTGGGATATTGGTGGCCAAGAATCTCTTCGTTCTTCCTGGAACACTTACTATACTAACACTGAGTTTGTAATAGTTGTTGTGGACAGTACAGACAGAGAAAGGATTTCTGTAACTAGAGAAGAACTCTATAAAATGTTAGCACATGAGGACCTAAGGAAAGCGGGACTGCTGATTTTTGCTAATAAACAAGATGTTAAAGAGTGCATGACTGTAGCAGAAATCTCCCAGTTTTTAAAACTCACGTCTACTAAAGATCATCAGTGGCATATCCAGGCCTGCTGTGCTCTTACTGGCGAAGGATCTGACCGGCACAGGAGGAGATTGCCCCCTCCTTCTCCAGCAGAGCATCTGGTGGATTTGAACCACGTACCTCTGGGATTGCAGTGCAGCGTCTTGCCACTAGGCCACCAGAGCTCCCTTATTCTTAATTTTTATCCTAAGAGTCTTGAAAAAATTTTTAATAGTTTATCTTAAGTGAAACCTATACTTGGACCAAGAGGCAGTAGTCAGAACAGAGCAGGGTAACACTGCATGGTTCAAAATTGGGAAGGGTGTACGCCAGGGATG